TCCTCAACACCCAACGCCAGGAACATCACCCCAACAAGCTGTCGGAGCTTCTGATGCCGAGCAAGCACCAGCTCCTCCCTCCAGAGCCAAGCTGAAGGTTTCGACGCACGCCCAAACACGCGGGGAGGACGAACTGCGTGCACGTAGGCTTTAGTCGGGCTTAAAATTCAGTTCTGGTGACAGTAAGGAATGGCTGCACCCCAGGAGAAAAAGAGGAGGTGACTTGTACTCATTTTCAGTATCTCCTGCTCCCTACTTCTCTAGCACTGAACGTTTTACTTGGGCAACTTTAAGACCACAACCTGTAAAGTTCACAAGGCGTTTATGTGCCGTTCAACAATGACAAACGTCACTGCTTTTTCGTTTGTTTAAATCCTCCCGGAATGAACTGCTCAGAATACTCGATTTACAAACTCCCCACGCCTTTCTGCTAGCACAGGAGCAGTATGGGTGACATGGAATGGGACTTTTAGGCCTCAAACACCAAGATTTCTGCATTTTGCAAGGGCTGTTTTCGAAAAGGAGCAATTTCACAGTTTTGCTACAGTCCCGGCTCTGCTGGCTACTTTTTCTACTGAAAATACCCTGTACGCTGATATGCTGAATTAGGAGGGAATAACACTTTGTTACAGGGCAGAACTGAGGGAGGAGAAGGCAGAAGTTACTCTAACTTTGTGTTTAACAGTCCTTCAAGACAGAAGTTCATGCGAAGTGTTAAAGCTGGTCTGGCATCTGAGCTAAAATCAAGGAGGATTTTGAACCCACCTCCACGGCAGTAAAACCACCTCTCCTCTACTTGTATCCTCCAGCTTCGCAACCGTCCCCTCCACACAGAAGTGGAATAACAGAGCACAAGGGGGCAAGTCCGAGCATTCTGAACCCCACCAGATTCAAACCAACAGCCCAAGGACGCCAAGCTCTCTGCCCTACCACCACACGTCGCCTCCTCTGTGGTTTCTCAGATTATTTCCCCCCACACACACGCTTGTTCTCAGCTCCACCGCTTTTGTTTTGTTATTTTACCGCGCCTTCTTTAATCCAATCCAAACCATTTCTTTGAACACAACAATAAATTATCGATTCCAGTGTATCTGTCGGTGTCAATGGCAGCAGCAGCCGCTTCGGGAGGAAGAATCGATAGTGAATGGGCACCATGTGACCGCAGGAACACGGCACGTCCTGGAGTCACATACGGCCTCGGGCCGGCCGCCGCTCCGGCCATTGAAAAATCAAAAATCGCGAGGATCAATTGGTATGTAGAGCCCTGACAGTTCACTCTAACGGCAAGCAAGCCAAGCAAACCCCCAAACGAACGCAGGCACAACAGCAAAAAGGAGGAAGATGATACCATGACTTAGATTTTCAAGCCACTTCATTTTCGCTCCCGCTGACTTTGTTTCCGTTTTATTTCGTCTCCTTTAACCGAGAATGAGAGTACATCCATGCTCCACTTCCCACAACATGCAACCGCTCTCTCTTCTGTTTATTAGGACGCTGGCTTTCCATCTCTGTTCACTAAATATTCACGGAATGATACTCGTTCCACTGAGCAGCACAGCATCTATACCACGATCTAGACACAAGCCATACGTATGAGCTTATATAACTGGTTAAATTATTTGTAACAGGGCCCAGGTCCTTCCACCCAGGACGAACAACATCGTCCAAGTGTAAAAAAAAAAAAGGATCAAGTAGCCCTTCGGACATTTTATTTAAACATCCCCGCAAGCCGAGAGTGGGGACTTTCTAACCAGATGGCAAATGCAACCGGGCAAGGCGAGAGGCCTGACCGTGAACCTGCCGGGGGGGGGGCTGCCTGATGGGGCACCCCACGAGCGCTGTCCCCACGAACCCCTGTCCCGTCGCTACTGACAGATGACGAACAGCTCCCCTCTGTGTAACGGCACCGGCCAGCCGGCCCGGGGGGCGGCGGGGGGGCCCCGGGAACTCTCCGCTGCAGCACC